TCAAGCTCTTTGACACTTAATTTGTACAGTGCACATAGTCGTTCTAACTCAGGTATGCGGGATTGAACAGCGTCCGACTGATATTGAGCATGAATTCTAAGCTTTTTTGTTGTCGGGCGTACATGACATCGTCTGAGTGACTTCTAATAAGCCTGATTGGGTTGCACGCTCTCTATCCATTCTCCGAATGATTTGTTCGAATTCGTTGATAAAGTCAAAGACCTGAAGATAAACAAAGGCTTTTTTGCTGTAGAAACACTTTTCACAAAACTCCCATTGCTAGAAACAGTTAATTTCCTCTGCGAGTATATAACGGAAAAGAGCATATACGTTAACATTCCAGTGCCTAAGCTCAAGAAGCTAATTTCGCGGTATACCTTTAATAGACAATTCTTGTTTGACGGCACCTAGTACAGGCAAATCGGTGGCGTGGCGATGGGGTATGCCCTTGGACCCCTCCTTGCCGACATCTTTCTCGCTAAGCTTGACCTTGGTCCTATCCAAACGGTCATTGTCTCATGGGATCCTTATTAGATGTATATAGGTGACCGTTTCTTCATCTGTGATTCTTGCACTGATGCCAACCTTGTGCTCGGCCAGTTGAACAGTGCACGTTCCTCAATCAAATTCACTAGTAAGATGGAAAATGAAGGTACGCTGGCTTTTCTGCATGTTTTGTTGAGGAGGCGTAGTGTCTTCCGCAAAGCTACATGATTTGGCTAGTTCACATACTTTTAGACCTTCCTCACTCTGAAGTACAAACGCAACTTAGTGTATTGCTTGTGTTACCGGGCCACCAACATTTGTAGTCCGCAAAATCTCGAGGGTGAGAAGGACCGAATTGTGAAAACACTTCTTTCGAATGATTACCCTGAACCTTTCATCAAAAAGCACGCCAGGACCCGTGAGAGCCTTAAGCCCGTAGCAACGGTTTCGAAGAAGAATGTGTTTCTCTCTGTTCCTTTTAAGGAACATATCGCCTGCGATCTCCTGAACAGGAGACTTTCTAATGCCGTAGCGAGGTCCTACCCGGCCGCTCACCCGCACGTACTTGCGGAGACAACACACATTATAGCTTAACATCTTAAAGACAGACTACCAGTTTTGTCCGAATCGTACATTGTTTACCAGTTTACTTGCACCTGTGGTGCCAAGTACCTCGGACATACGATCAGGCGTCTGTCGGTACGGATGGCTGAGCACTGACCGGTATCACTGCGGAGAGGTACGCCCAGAAGCATTAACAGCTCGAGCTTGAAACATTGGCTTCAAACTGGGCATCAGATTTCGACCGAAATGGCCTTCATTATCTCTAATGATGTACCGATGTGCTACTCGCAGGCATTAAGGAAACGCCTCTTGCAGAGGACTGAAGCTATCGCGATACGGCTAACATCAGCAGAGCTAGCCAAGCATAGGGTGCTTGTGTTATCTTTGACTTTGCCATGGCCAGGATGGTAAGTCTCTCCCGGAGTAGTACGCGTAACCGAGTGCTATTTGGTTACGTAACTCCTGTTGTCAGTATATTTGTTCTGCTGTATGTTATCCCTACCACTCACTTGATTAAAGCGATTTGAGCATCGAACGAACATGCTAACTCTGTTCAAACCGACCCGTCCGTTCTCAATTTTGCATTCCCCAGTTTACTGTTGCATTTATCAGTCCTGTAGCTGTATTTGCCTGAGGTATTTGCCTGAGATATTTTTGCAAGGCTGTCTTTTCTGTTTTTATGGTCATTTATTTAGGGAGAAAGTGACGTTACTGCATTTTGATGCGTCCAACGAGAAAAGTGAGCTCTGGACCATAATACATGCTGTCCAGACAGGCTTGTAATCTAGTTGATGAGGCTGCGGTCAATTGTTGCATACCCAAGACTACGTCGTCTGCATATTTCATCAATACCGCATCTGTAGGAGCAATCAAAGAAGCAATGTAGGTGGAAAAGTGATATGGAGAGAGTATGGCCACTTGAAGACCTCCAACGTCTGTTGTGAGCGGCGAAGAAGTTTTACCTCCAAATCGAGTAAACTGGGCCCGTCCAGTGAAGTAGTCTCTTAAAAGGTGGACAGTAGAGACCTGGATGCCAGCATCGTGTAGATCACTCAAAAGAAGCTAACAGTTTACACTGCCCAAATCATTACTGTAATCGAGAAAACACATACGCACGTATGTGACCTTGTTGTCTAGTGACGTTAGCACTGACTGCACAAATAGGCTAATGCGTCTTGAGTAAACCAGAAACTAGGATAAGCAAACTGTAACGGATCATCTGAGTGAGTCGGATTCAGCAACCTTTCAAGTATAATCTTCTCGAAAGGCTGGTGCATCTCACTGTATGCCTGTAGCCACTAACCGTACCCCTCCAAGGGATTATGACTCGTGTCATCACGACCCACATAAATATTGTTACTATTGTGTATATTCTTTTATTTTTCTTCCATTGCTGGCTACCATATGGCCTATTGGTTGTGGTGTACCCAATCAAGGCTCAATGCATCAAGTCCACTGGCGGCAAAGAATGTAATGCTCAAAAGAGTTAAACGTGTCGATTGGTAAAAGTGACCAACCTCATTGCATCAAAAACGACCCGAAAAATGAGTTAAAGCGGCAATCGCCTACTTAGTTATAGGCCACACCGGAACGCGACCAAATTGGTCTGAAGTGAGCACCGTAAGTGCAAATTAAAGCGCCCTGAGAGATGAATAAAAGCAGGGATGCCGATGTAAATTGGATGTCGCCTGCCCGAAAATACTGCACAACCACGCCGCGTCTCGATACCGTTGTATCTCATCTGGTGGAGATAGCAGGCCTTGAACCCGCGACCATTGGACTAGGAACCGAAACATCTACCCCTTTGGCTACTGGGTTACGACGGGCAACCGTTGGCACAAAGTGACCCGATAGCCAAATGGGTGGCGGTGTCGGCTACTATTCCAATTGTCGCGGCTTCAAGGCCTGTCATCTTCACCTGATGAGATAAAATGATATAGAAACGCGTCGCGGTTGTGCAGTGTTTTCCAGCGGGCACCACCCAATTTCCATGTGCTTCCGCTACGGTCCTAGTGATCGCAATGACTAAGGTTCACTTCAATGTAAACCGCGGTCCACAATGAGATTGCGCGTCGTAATCCAATCACACAACGTGTAGTCCAAATGGCCCTCCATTCAGTCGTTAACCGAACCGTTGTGCCAGGAACTGCCCGTCGCGACCCGGTAGCCAAAGGGGTAGGGGTTTCGGTTACTATTCCGATGATCGCGGGTTCAAGGCGTGTTATATACTTGATGAAATAAAATGTTATCGAAACGCGTCGCGCTTGTGCAGTGTTTTCGAGCGGGCAACACTCAATTTCCATCTGCTCCCTCTATGTTCCTAGTGATCGTATTAAGCAAGGTTCACTTCAATGTGAATCGAGGTCTAAATTGAGGTTGTGCATCGCAATCCAATCCCACAACCTACATTGCAAATGACTCTCCATTCAAAGCAGTGATGGTTTTTCATAGTTTCACAGTGTTCTTGAGAACATAAGGGAAAGACCCGTGTCAGCTCCTTCACCACGCATTCACTATCTGAATGATGGAAGTATTTGCTAACCTGCTTTCACCAAAGGATCAGCACAGCTGCAGCAAAATCAGTAGAATCCACGCGTTCACAGCATTTAGCTATGCAACCGCTTCTTAAAACATGCGTCTGAAAGGGCATTGACAACATGTTCTGGGAGGTTATTCCATTGATTCACAATCCGGGTAGATGACGTAACGTCGCAGCGGACTTGAATCCTCCGCGGTTTAAGCCGTTTCCAACTGTGACCACGTGTCTAGTTATCTACATTGAGTTGGAAGAATCCTTGCACCTCCTTCCCTAAGTCTGCTTTTAGAATGCGCCTTGTGTATATCAGATCCCCACGGCGACGACGGTAGTCTAGAGAGAACAAGTTCATTCCTTGAATTTGAAGGGTATAAGACAAAGCACGAAGCACTGATGCAGACTTGGATCCACGCCGCCGAACCTTCTCGATTAAAGCACTTTCAAACTTTGTGAGAGGACGCAAAGCAGGTGGTCCATTTTCCAATGTTGGACGAACCTTGGAACAAAACAGGAGCTTGAAAATCTCAGGCGTCATTTTTGATCATGACGTCCGTCTAGCGCTGAGTACTCTGTTGGCGGAGGCGACTTTCTACAACGTAACCGAGATGGTTTTCAGGTTAGAGGATACAAGCACACGCAGCCCCTTCTCAGAAGCTGCATTGCTCAGTAGGAAATCAACAATGCGGTAGATGCCCAAAAGTTCTGGAGAACCGATTTGAAGAACACAGCATTTATCATGGTTGATAGGTAACTGCCACTTCACAGACCAGCCGTGCATTCTTTTAACCCACCCCAGTACATTGCCAGATAGGCTTAGTACTGAAGGTGAAACCTTTAAAAGGACTACCCTGCATAGAAGCAATTCTTTTGAAGACCGTTCCGTCAATGGCCGTGTTACTTTAATTGAACTTTACACTGTGTCCTATTTTCTTTGAAATCTGCTGCAGCCTTTGCTCTCTTTTAGTGTAATTAAGCTCTTCTGTGTTTGTAATAGTGTAACATAATTGTATAACCCTGCTCTTGCCTGAAAGAGCATATTTCGTGAAGCTGAGCATACGCATTTTATTATTCTCATCATTATTAGTAGCAGTATTGTTATAATATTATTATTATTATTAATAAAGTAACCATATTTTTATTACTGCAGAAGTCATGGTTAGCCAGACTGCATCATGTTGTGATTAACTTTTGACATCAAAGTGGCTCGGGCATTTTGTGAGTTATTTTCAACTACGTGAAAGGCATGGTTTATAACCATGGTATCCATCGCTTTCCCAAGGATTTTGAATGTTCCCATGAGGAAACATGAATTTTAACTATAGCGAACTACCCGATCTCTGCTAAAAATTCTTGTTATCACATACTCATCCATTAATCCAGGCAAACACTTCTGCACCAATTCTTTCATCCTTACCTGGTGTATGATTGGTGTTGAGTAGCCAACTTGTGACTCAGAAGTTTTATTTCATCTGAAACAGAAACACATGAAGTAGACGCATAGCGTTTAAGTTACCTGTCAGGGACTGGCAATCGTCAGTCAGAGATTGTAGCTGTGCCTCAGCTGTAAATCGGTGAACGCTGGTAACCATGCTGCACTGTAATTACTTTGCTCCACTTGTTCTTGCAACTTAGCTTTTCGCTCAGCAAGGAGCTTGGACGATCTTTCTAAATGTCTCTTTTCTGTCAAACATTGGTTCACGATTTCGTCCGCTGATTGTAAGCTGTACAGCGGTTCCTTATGTGACAACATGTCTGTTCCGGGAAGGAAAGAGAATAATTACCATAGAAATGTAGTGATAAAGTGGCTATACAACCGGATAGATTATCTGAGCCAATGTTGCGGTTCCGTTTTAGGAAGCTATTTTCCGACGGATGGTTCCCATCATGAGCTGCATAGTAGTTTCAAACATTTATCGAAAGAGAATCAAAACGTAAATACCGCAAAATGTACTACAGATATCAAAATGATACCACTGGAAAATTAAATGCACTGCTTGGCTTTAAGCTACAACACAAAGTATGTCTACTAGGTCATCATTACAGATACACTAATATTATAGATGGTCATAACTACAATTGAGTTGCTTTGATTAGATACGCAATGCTGAAGCCTGTAATGACGACCGCTCTGTCACTAATAGTAGCACGAGGTTCTGTGTTTTTTCTTAATGCACTATTCATTTGGTGAAGTACAACCCACGTTGCGAAAATTACTAAATATCTTCTGAGAACTGTAGGTGCGTTACTGCAGAAAACATGAACATTGACTCTTCCAGCATATTACAACACTGGGTTATATATGGTCTTGTAATTATCAACCGCTCTTCTGTTTTACAGTTTGTAGCTCCTTTCAATTGCATCTAACCCGTGCGTTGGGTGACACACTACTCGCTAATCCTGTTGATACCTTCTTCGTTCCTTGGGGCTCTTTGTTGCTTTAGTCTTATCCTCTATACTGTGTTTGACACGTCCCTTATGTGCCGTTGCTGTCCAAATAGTATTCCGGTCACACTCAACATTACTTTTCCAAATAAATTTCACTCCGAGGTGAGTAGCGGTATTACTACCAGGGTTAATGCACCGTGCTATTTTTTTGCGAATAACTTCTTCCTAGTATGCTGGCACAGTTCAATCGCCTGACTAGTCACCTAGCATAGAGAGCGGCTGTTTGTGCATCGATCAGCGTGCATGATTATGCTGTGCAAACGAGCAAGCGCCACACCATCGACTAGCCCAGTTTGTTGAGTAATTACTCCGCTTCACGTTACATGCTGGGTGGATTCACAAAAACACAAGGAGGAGGAAAACCACTGGATAGTTTCTGAACATTCACTGGATACGCTAAAAGCTTCACTAAAAGAACCCAATAGCATCATGCACACCTTTAACTCCATGTGCGGCTTCACTTATCACACATCATCGGCTGTAGTAATATCTCCAATTCAGCAGCGAAGGTACTTGCAGTATTTTTCCCACAAACACGCCACTATGAGTTCGAAACTCGTGCTTCGTGTAGCAGTCGACAACACAAAAGCTTACTTTGTTCAGTTTCTGCATTATGCTGTTAGCGCACTGCGCGAAAAACGCCAGACATTTTCTGCACTTGTTGTCTGGTAACTGTCGAGGCAATCGACTGTAGGAATCCCTAGCCACTTTGGTGGCTGGTGTAATGGAAGTGTGCAATCAGAGTGAATAAATGCATCTTTGAGGAAAAACGATCCAGACTACTAATCGGAAACCAACTCAACGGATTCGACTAGTGGACAAAACAGCCGCATTTATCCTTTCACGCAATTCCACTGGATGGCTGCTTTTCGTGTACGCTACTGTTCATTTCTCTCAACTTGTTAAGTCGAGTTAAAGAAGAAATCGCAACGACTCGAAAACGTCGTCGCTTAAGGAACTACACTAACAACGTGCGTCGAGGCATTCTATGGGGGCAGCCGTACAGTTGTTCTTATGCAGTTCCCTTTGCAAAATAAACTGCTTCCTGATGTCAGACCGATCGCTGCCAGGGTTGACAACACTTGCTCAACGGACACACTGTCGTTGCCATTTTAATACGGCAATTTTTCTACGTCCTCATCACCATCGTCCTTCGAAATATAGTGACAAGTTCATAATCCCACTTTCGGCTCTCGTGCAAGTATTGGTTACCAGGTATGCTCAGTTAAGACTTATCAGGTACCGGCGTTTGCGCTTGTTGCGACTAACCTAAGAGTAATGACGCTTAGGTAGGTCTTGACCGTCAGCTTGTTTGAAAATATCGTGACCAGTTACTGCGTTGGCATAATGTGGATATTTGAAATGAGAAAGTCAAACAGATTGTTGATTAAATTCAGTCCCCGTGAATGTAGGTACTCTGAAAACACGATCGGACATTTGTGAAAGCGAAACAAGGAACATCTACCAACTGAGCTCATGAAAAAAACAACAAAGAACCAACTTAAGTACGATCACAACCCACCTGATCAGCACCGGCTATCACGCTACAAATGAACTGCTTTAGAGATCATGTACGTTGCATCTTTCCAGCAGAACCATCGGCTGAGTACCTGACTACTTGCTACTGCGGAAGCTGTATGCATAAGATTAACAAATCCACACTTGTTTCCAAAAGAAACACGTCCAAGCGCTACTACTCTCATGGCCATCATCCAAGCGCGGAGAGTTCGACATAACCCAGCATTCCTATGTGCCTTTCATCACATGATCGCCAGACGCACATTAATAAACTCGATTCGGAGGTTCTTGCACACTTTTTACCCTCTGTACCCACAAATGAGTTGTCAGCTTTTTTACCGTCCATTTCTGTAATGATACTGATGAGGAATAAATCTAAAACAGTTGTTTGCTCTTAAATCACCGCTTTGTTTCACGTTGGGATTAACAATTAACAGACTTTTTCATAATCGTTCAATGCTAGATACTGAAGATTCATTGATACGATTTAAAGCACGTGTATCAAGTGCTATTGCAAGAACGCCTCAAACACCCTCTTTGGCTCATACACGATGTATTGCCCTACGATAATGTTGAGTAGCAATAATGCCAACGTTCCTCGTATCTTTAACTGCCCAAGTATTGCAGACCTCAGCAACACTGTAACTCCTCTCCACTGGGTTGTTGATGCAGGGTTAAAAGCTTACCTAAATGGACCCATATCTATACGGTACCAAATAAACAGTTTCTCCGATCAAATCGCTGTACTAACGCTGGTGGTTTTACTCTCCTAATATTTGAATTAGTCAATGTCCACTTTAGTAAAAATGGACCTCGACCTAACGCACATACCTTTTTCATGGTCCCAAAAAGAGATTCTTCTCAGTTCCTTTTGCGTACCATCAAGAGTATTTTTTGGTGATTTAGTAGCTAAGCTCATTGTGATCTCTCATAAAATTCCCTCACATGTTCCTAAGTTTCTCTGAATACTCAGGAAGATGTTGCGCTTGGGAATTAATTTCTCTGCTGTCGAAGGTCCCTCTTCCTGCATCTTTTACTCTCACAACTCACCGCTGAGATATCCGGACAGTGGGGTCTAGCAACGACGACTATTCTCAAGAACACAACAGAAACCTTGCCACATTCTAATAAGCAGCAATCGTCTTAAGAGCTTATATGCCACTCCGATCCGTGGCGACTTGAAATATACTCGTGCAGTCAGATATATCCTATGTATGTACTTAATCTGCGTACAAGTGGAGGATGAGCCGCGCAGTTAGGAATGAATCATGGCAGTCCACTACCGCCATCCATGGCACAGTTGCATATGTCGCTGATTAATAAAAGTAAGGTTAGGGGTTGGAATTCTGCAGGCTCCGACGAATGCGCCCTGCTGCTGAGTCCCAGTAGGATGAAACGGCCGTCTAGCGCCTTTCTGGATGTGTAGTGGTTGTCTGACTGAGTCCAGCTGCGACGAATCTTCTCATAAAAGTTGCTAAACCTATGAGTAGGGGATTTATAATGCAAATAATCGGTAGTTTCTTTGCAGGTTATCAATTATCCGACTTAAAACCTTCTAAATGCTGTGTCGTACAGAAGTGCTTTCAGTGCAAATAGCATCTCTCGGGGCCAAACCCGTATTCTGAAACCTTCGTAAAGTGCATGGCAGTGGCATTGAGTAGCACAATATTGCAAGCAGGTTGTAAATGGTGGTTATGCACTGCTGTCCTGGACAGCCTCTCAGCATAAGCTGCAAGCTAACGGTGCAAGCCGCCAGTGGTCGTGAGTTCGGATCATGTTGAAGGTGATGGATTCACACGACTAATGATTCTTGCTAAGATGAAACGGTCGTGTAGCGCTTTTCCGGGTATGTAGAGAACTATCTGCTTTGGAAGCTGCTGCGCTGAACTTACCAATAAAATAGGTGGCTTGTTGCTGGTTTACTAAGGACGAACCTAGGCTCATTACGCTCTGGGACACTTCTGACTTCATTTTTGAACTGCAATGTTTTATTTCTAATAATTCATTGCAACAGTAAATGCCTAAATGAGGAGCAGATAGTCATCGTCATTTGTTGGTATACACGCATTGTTTCGGTATAGTGTGAAAGTTCAAGAAACTTGATACACATACCCAACAAAATTACCTTAAATCCCGTTTCCGCCCTGCGCTCAGGTCAGTAATGCATAGGTTATTTGGTGCAGCAGAATTCACCCTGGTACATTTATGCTGGTAACATAAAAGTAGTGCTGATATCATATGCCCGATCAGTATAAGGTTGATCTGTCTTTCACCGTTCCCCAAATCACTGCTCGTGGAAGAGATGCGTGCACGGAAACCTGGGTCTGGTGGCCAAGGCAGCCGCGTGTATGAAAGGCGCAACGAAAAACTGGTTCACATGGCATAATTGGAGTGACCGTAGGTACCTCGAGCATGCACTGTAGAAGAAGCGTGGCATCAAAAATCTCATTTAGAATGGTTTGCTGAGTTATGCGAGGGCCCAAAATAGTCTGAGTTATAGCGCAGGTGCTAGTAAACAGACCTGGGAAACACTAGCACTCTCAACTTATTATGGAAACCATAGTGAAGATTATGAAAATAATCACATGCGGCATCATTCCTTTCCATTTATTTTCTGTTTTTAACACCAGCTCACCATTTCCAGATACTTTTAACGGCCGGCTAATTCAATGTGATCAAGAATCATGTGGCGCTGAATGTTTGATACAGATCCTCTGAGAGCACGACATTTCCTTCAGTTTAGCATCATGGTCACTTATAACATCACCATGCACCTGTGATGGGATAAAAATTTCCCCTTCATGAGACACACTCCCTATGT